AGTACAGTTTCCATTAATCACTCACCCAGCTTTCCCTGTTGGTAACATGTTACATTATCATAGTACGTTATACCACTACAGGACCAACCTAGACTCCATACTTTATTCGGATTACACTAGTTTTCCCCTAATGTTATTCTTCTGTTCCAAGATTCCATTCACTGCTTGCTTCGGCACCACATATACCAAGATTCCATTCAGGATGTATTACATTTATCATGTCTCCTTAGCCTTCTCTGTCCATGACAACTTCTCAGACTTTGCTTTTGATAGTTTTGAGGAATACTGGTCATTCAGGCCAGGTATTTTGTAAAATGTTCCTTGATTTCGATTTGCCTGATATTTTTTTATCATGATTTTACTGGGTTTATGTGATTTTTGTGAGGAAAACTGCAGAAGTATAGGCCATTCTTATCACATCATATCAAGGCTATGTGCTATCAACCTATCACTAATAATATTAATATTAATCACCTGGTCAAGGTGGTGTCTGCCAGACTTCTACAGTATAAAACTAATTTCCCTTCCTGCTTCTGTACTCTACTCTTTGGAAGCAAGTCACCAAGCACACTCCATACTCAAGAGTGGAAGGAGTTAAACTCCCTCTCTGGAAGTGGAATACCTGCATAAATTATTTGGAATTATCTGTATAGGAGATTTGATCACCTATTTATGTTAGTAATAGTCATTTCTTCAAGAAGATCAATGTTATCATCATAAAAATAAACAGACATTCTATATCCCCTAATGTGATATGATAAAAAGCGTATCACACCACATAGGGAATTTTCTTGCTTCCTCATCTCCTCAAAGAAAAACTGATTTTTAACCTATCAAGACTCAAAAGCTAATTAACAGTTTGTAGGAAATCCTGTAAAGATGTAGCCCCAAGATCCTCCAATAACCATGTGATCTGCCAGGAGGTAAAACCATAGATAGCAATTGAGACTTGTGAGAAAAATGAAGAATCCTAAACCTATCCAGGGATTCAGTCAACTCTAAGGCCAAGCTCTTTCCCTATCCTTCCAGGATATACCAACCAAATAAGCATCTCCTTCTTATGTTGGATTGAGTTGGGTTTCTCTTACTTACACCAAAAGAGAGCTAACAAATATAATAAACACAAATAAGGAAAGCCATGGAACAAAGCCACAAAAGTTCAAGACATTGAGGAGTAGGAAACAGGTTGAGTTGCTTAGGTAAAGCCAAATTTTAGGTGACATTTTTAAAAAGTAGGTAGAATTTATTAGCTTTTAAAATTTAATGGGGGGGGGAATCCCTGGGTGGCGCAGCAGTTTAGCGCCTGCCTTTGGCCCAGGGTGCGATCCTGGAGACCCGGGATCGAATCCCACGTCGGGCTCCTGGTGCATGGAGCCTGCTTCTCCCTCTGCCTATGTCTCTGCCTCTCTCTCTCTCTGTGTGACTATCATAAATAAATAAAAATTTAAAAAATAAAAATAAAAAAATAATAAAATAAAATTTAATGGGCCATTTTTGCTGTTCTCCTGTGTTTTGGTAGTAGTGTTAACTATAGGGTTCAATTTTTAGCATATAATATTTAATCACACATTGAGCATTTATCATAATTTTAGAAATCAACAAAGTCAACCTTACTTTTCAGCTAATATAATTAGGACCTAAAATGAATTCATCCAAGTTCATATATCTAAGGTACACATGCACGAAGCATTGTGCAAAAAGGAAATAGGGTATGGAGCCAAATCAGACCAGGTTTGTTCCCCCAGTTCCTTCTCTCACCCAGTGCTTTTTATTCTTTATATAATTTTTAAATACATAGTACATAAACATGACAGAAAACCTCAAAAATGTATCTTGTGGGGGATCACTGGGTGGCTCAGCGGTTTAGCGCCTGCCTTCGGCCCAGGGCGTGATCCTGGAGTCCTGGGATCGAGTCCCGCGTCGGGCTCCTGGTATGGAGCCTGCTTCTCCCTCTGCCTGTGTCTCTGCCTCTCTCTCTCTCTCTCTGTCTATCATGAATAAATAAATAAGATCTCTTTAAAAAAAAACTTTAAAAAAATGTATCTTGTAAAAAGTAGCCTTTCTCCCATTCCTGTCCCAATAAGCCTTCCTCCTCACCCTTTGACTACCACAGTTACAACTTCTTGGGTACTCTTTAAAAGGTAGTCAGTCCATTTAAGCATACTGAAGACCTGACCTTTTAGACTTTAAGACATATGATGATCACTAAAAACTTTAAAGCTGGGCAGCCCAGGTGGCTCAGCGGTTTAGTGCCACCTTCAGCCCAGGGTGTGATCTTGAAGCCCCAGGATCGAGTCCCACGTCAGGCTCCGGGCATGGAGCCTGGTTCTCCCTCTGCCTGTGTCTCTGACTCTGTCTCTCATGAATGAATGAATAAATAAATAAAATAAAATAAATCTTTAAAAATTTTTAAAAATAATAAAAATAAAAATTTTAAAGCTATTGAATGGTACTGGAAGGCCTGGGGTTGTGAAGGCAAGATGAAAGTGGAGCTAAAAAAAAAAAAAGAAAATGGAGCTAAAGAGAAAGTAGTAGCTATGTGATACTCTACCCTGCAGCACTGGTGTTTAAAAAGGCAACATGTGAAAATTAAAAACAACTTTAAGGGTCAAATAATGCTCCTTAAAAGGCATGATTAGTTAAGGTTTCTTTTTTTTCTTTCTTTTCTTTTTTTTTTTTAGTTAAGGTTTCTAAGAATTATGTACAAACACACATTCTATTATTCATTCTGCTTGTCTAGAATTCTTATGGGATGTTCTTGACTATACTGTAGTGAAGAATGGATAAGGGGACTGTTGTAGCAGTGAGTGGCAGCTAACATTTCCTAGACATTTAAGGAAGAAAAATTAATTGTTTCCATTCTTTACTACTGCAAATGTCATTTTTTTCTAATCATTTCAGAGTAAAAGAGATTACAAAGAAAGCAATGAGATTAATAACATAATCAAGATGGATGGAGAAAGAAAAAGGGGAATGATGAAATCAACCTGAGAAGAAGTTTAGTTGGCAGTTAGAGGAACATACAGGAAGTTCAAGTATTTCTCATCACCTAGCAATGAAGTAAAATAAATCTTTTCTCTTTTGAATTTTATTCAGAAAATACCTGCTTTAAGAAGGAATGGATGAGATGTATATTGTTCTCAACAGAGGTTAGAAATTTTAAAGTTCCCATGGGGAAAAATTTTTCTTGGCATAAGTAACAAATTAAATATGGAAAAAACAAGTCAATTATTGAGCATATCTGTAACAGAAGACTCATACATATATTTTTAGTAGAAAGTATATCTCATTTTAGACTTAAAATCAGAATTTTTTTCAGGCTTATTTTTGAACTCTCAAAAAGTTCTAGATTCCTAGAGCAATGGCATAACCACTACAACACTTAAATATTCAAGTTCCAAGAAAACAAGTAACACTTCTAATGGAAATAGAACATAACTTTGGTATATTTTTAACAAGTGTCAAAGGATAATGTGAATTACATGTTCTTTTGACCAATTTCCTAAAATAGTTATGTAAGAGATAAATTATAATTAGACTGTATTTACAAAGATAGAAAATGTCTTTATCATTAAAATTATTTAAAGTGAATTTTATTACATATAAAATTATTTATCAACAGAAAACAATCAGAACTCAGCTCTAAAACTATAATGAAAGCCAAAATATATGCTGAGTCACACATCTATGCCTGTTTAAATACAACTCAGATTGAATATATTAAATACATGAGACCCTATCAGTCTGAAATTTTTTTCCTCTTTCAAATCAGGAAAGAAAGTAAAGCATGGAATAGTTTATAAAAATTATTTTTCTCACCATTAACAGTTGCTGGTCCCTTAGGAATAGCGTGTACCATTTGTATCTACTTTTTCATTTGCATAAAGCTATCCTCCAAGTCAGTCAATGGATTTAAAAAAATGGAATTAGTCCAAATGTACATGTTTTCTGCTTTCAAACATAAAAGGAATACTCAAGACTATATTTGCGTCATTTAATTTTTAATCTAAAAAATGGTGACAGTGGTTTTTATATAAAAAGAATTTCCACCATCCACCTTAACAAATCGATTTTGTGCTTGTGTGCATAAAGACTATATTTTTAATAGTCACAGTTATTTAGATGTGGTTTCCTAGAGATGATTTCATTTCTCTGACTTGTCAAGCAAATACTTAAAACAATATAAAAAATGGACAAAAACTATATATGTATTATAAAGTGAAATCCAGGAATATCTCTGACCATTCAAACAACTGACTAATGGAATTACTAACAAGAATACATACACAATAAAATAGTGAAACTTTCAAGTTAGTACCTAAAGAATTCAAAATAACTCCTAACATTTTATTAGTATCTTCCTCAAAATTAGAAGATATTTTATAGTAGTACCTCCCAATTTTAAAAGGTTTGAAGAATCTGGTACTGGATCTTAAAAAAAAATAAAAGTGACAATAACCCCAGGAAGTTATGTGTAGGGTGTACTACCCCCTAATGGTGAATATTAAGAGTAGTAGATGATGCATAGGTATAAATCACAGAATCACAGCTTACTTCACAATTTCCATAATTCCAAAATATCTTGAGACTTTGTTTCAAGACATTTTTAATAAAGACTGAAGTATTACACCACTTTTCCCTAAAATTTTAAGCTTACATGTGGTAACCTTTTAGGTGTAGGTGGGTGTGCATATGTGAGCACACACGTGCAAGCACATCCACACAATTTAGGATAATAAAGCCAAATAATATTATAATATATATTATATTATATATATAATAATATATATAATAATATTATAGTTTCTTCATGCAAATAATATTTTATTCTACTCTAATATATTTTATATCCTTATAATGTTCTAATTCATTTAGAACAAACCTATGAGTTGTCCTTTAAGTGGCTACGTCTCAAAAAAGACTTACTGCCAAACACTGAAGTATTATTCTTAAAATAATCAAGTGTTTTCTAGAATAAAGATAGTTACAATAACACTTACCTCAGTCTTTTTACTAATGTGATCTGAAAATGAAAAAAAAGGGTGACATTTCATTGAAGAAAATATTAATTTTATTAGTATTAATAATCATTAATACCCAATATGTAAAAATATTTGAAGTAATTGAGAAGAATTTAAAAGTTATAATAAGAGTTACAGAAGTCATTTGAGGGTTGTCTGAGATATTAGACTTACCGCTCTAGGTGGAAGATGTTAAATTTCAACATATAATCATTAATTTGCTCAGTTTAGGGACTATGTCTTACATCCTAGTCAATGCCGCTCATACAACAGGGTATTATTAAATTTGAACAGCTGAATTCCAAATAATTTAGGTTTTCTGTTTCACACAATTTTAGGGGGGCATAAAGGGGAACAAATATGCCTAAAATCAAATCACAGGATACCATAACTGCAAAATGGTACAGATCACTGCCTTTGTGGGGGGAAAAAAAACGAATAATAATTTGTGTCTTTTAAACTCCTAGTTTCTTTTTTTTTCCTAGTTTCTTTATTTTAAAAATATACATCATAGTGCTTTGATAATACTATAAGAAATACTACAAATTGATGTATATTTATAAAATGAATAGAAAGAAGGCAATAAAAATACATTCAGATTAAACAAATCATTGACTTAGTAACAACACAGCATTTCTGGAAAGGGATTACAGGAGGAGGAAAAAAGAAGACATAAGGAAATCCACACAGACACAAGGCTGAAACTAAAGTACCAAGAGGGAGAAAATGTTCTTATTTAAATTAGAGATGATTGGGATAGCTAATATTTAACATAGGCTTATTGTGCATAGTAGAAATTTTCTATTCTCAGGGACTAACAATAATTTAATAGAATAGCATTCCTACAACTGAGAATTTAAAAGCTGGTCCAGCTTTTAAAGGCATCTGTTGATCAGAATAGGGTCTAGAAGTATAATAAATGTCAAAATCACAAGTTTCAGCTCAAGCTACAAAATCCTACTTAGCTTAATAAAAGAAGCAGACTACAGGAAAAACTGTCCTGATCCTTAAACCAAAGCAATATAATGCTCTCAATTTATTCCTAATTTCACAGATAGGCCTGCTTTTGAAAATGCTGGAGTATTTTATTTCATTGCGTTTTTTTTTTTTAGATTATTGCTGTAGTATTATTAATCCTCACAGAACAAATACCCAAGTATTAAGGCTAAATTCATATGAATCAAATAGATCACTGTCAATGAACAAACAGCTGTTCATTTTGTCAGCAACTATTCTGACTGGCATAAACACAACACTGTCCAAAAAAAATTTTCTGTAAGGATAACTTTATAGAAACTTAATTTAAATATAAATTAATTAAAATGAACTATAGTAAAAATTCATTAGTTGTATTAGCCACATTAGTAGCTTCTAACCACATGAAGGGGAAGCTACTAATCACATGAAGGTACTGAGCATTTGAAATGTGGCTAATATAACTAATGAATTTTTACTTTAGTTCATTTTAATTAATTTATATTTAAAACATCACACATGAATAGAGCTACCATATTTTATAGCACAGACTTAGGGTTTTCACAACTTCCCACATCAAAAACAGTGCGCTTTATGGTCTATCTTCAAAAGTTTGGTGGATAATGTAGTTTCCTTGTCTTCTCTGTTCAATAAAAAAAATACAAATGATATTACAAAGTTTTCTGGTGATAAGTCTCATTCTAAAAATTTTTATTTTAATTTTCTACAGTGTAGTTCCAGATAATTTGAAGAGGCTGACCAATAATGGATGAAATCTGATGATACTATTCCTTGCTTGGTGTAAGTTCAATTACTTTATGTACAAAGACAATAATTATGTTTCAAGATGACTCAAAAACTACAAGTACAATTTTTATTTTTAGTGAGTTTTAGATTATGGACAAATTCAGATACAAAAAGACAAATTTATATTTAATTTTTATGGAGATTTAATGACTCCTTTTAAACTATCCCCCAAATTGTTTATTTCCAAACAGGTTTACATTTTTTATAATCTCAGTAACACATTAACAAAACAATTCTTACTTATTTTAAAAAATAGCAAGGAGCTTAAAAATATATAAAGACTTAAAATAGTCTAGCATAATAGATTTCGTACATATATTACCTTCAGATTGAAAATCTTTGAGTGATACTGTGAGAGGTTTGTCTTTTCCCTGATGATTCTTCCTTTTATCTTTTTTATTCACAACTTTTGACTGAGTTGAAGCATTTTCAGCATTTTCATACTCCTAAGAAGAATTACCAACAATAATTAAACTTGGTTTACGCTGGTAAAAAAAAAAAATCAACATACCATTAGGTAATATATTAAAGTTTTATTTTTTTAAAGGTAAACTACAAATTTTAAAAATCAATACTTGAAGTTAGTCAAATTGTATAAAAGGTTTTTTTGAGAGAGAGAGAGAGAGAGAGAGAGAGAGAGAGAGAGAGAGAGAGAACACACAAGGAGGGGCAGAAGGAGAGAGAGGACCTTAAGCAGGCTCCATTCTCAACACAGAGCCTGATGCAGGCCTGGATCCCACCACCCTGAGAGCATGACCTGAGCTGAAATCAAAAGTTGGACACAACTGACTGAGCCACCCAGGTGCCCCAGCATAAGTTGTTTTCTTTTTATATGCTCAATCTCTTGCCTCTTAAACATTAAAATAAAATCAAAAAGCTATTCCTTGTGGTTTATAACCTCTCCTAGATGCCACCTCTTCTTCTTTATTTCAGGACCAAACTTAAGACAATCATCTCTAGTCAATTTCCTTTCTCACCACCTCCGCCAAATCTGGCTTCCCCTGTTCTCTTCTACTAAAATTAAGGTTAACCTCCCCCACAATGCCATATCCAAAGACATTGCTTTTTCAAACACCTCTTGGTTTTCTCAATACACTCTGACTACTGTTCAGTCTCCTTCACTGGCTTCCTATATCCGAACTTTTCTCACCATTATTCCATTCTTGAGGAAGTCTTTTGCTTTATACCCAAAGTTTAAAGTTCTACCTATACACTGATGATTTTTTGTATGTACAGACAACTCAAATGAAATGCTCAGTAAGCACCACCAAACTATATATGTTCACCCTGCCCTTCCCTACTGGATCCTCCAGTAAGTACCTTGTATAATGTCACCATCACCTACATAACTGTGCAGACTAGAAACCTGTATCACCACTGTCTGCTCCTCCTGCAGACTTTATATACAAAGTAGTCACAAGGTCTTGTTGAGTTTATCGGCTAAAGATCTCTTACACCTGTTCTCTTCCCTTCAGACCTTCTGTTATTTCCCTATCTTCTTCTGCTGGACACTGCAACACCCTCTAATTTTAGCCCCTCAATCCATCTTCTACATGGCTACAGCATGAGTTTCTAAAATGAAAACCTGAAATCTAAAAGTTAAAAATAGTTCAATAGTTCTCCACCAACAGATTTATAAAAGCCCAGTCTCCTTAGCCTGGTCCATATCCTATCCTTCAGAAAGTGTCTCTACCAACTCCAAATCAAATAGGCTACACTCTTTTACCTGCACATATCCTATATACTTGCCACTCCTTTCCTGACAAAGCCTATTTTTTTCTCTTGCCTAAACTGTCACCTTTTAATAAACCCATTAAATCTCCTCTTTAAGAATTCTTTTCTAAAACCCATACTGATTAAAGGCAAAGAAAGTTCTTCCATCTTTCTGAATTCCCACTACACAGAACATTCATCTTTCAATGCTATACACAGTAATTATATGCATGTCTCCCTCCACTAAACTCAAGGGCTGGGACCATATCCTTACCTTTGTATTGTGCGCTTTGCACATTTTTGGCTATTCAAAAAAGTATTTGGCGAACAAGTAATAAAACAGAATAGAAAATGCCATCCCAGAGGTACCTGTGTAGCTCAGTCAGTTAAGCCTCCAACTCTTGATTTTTGGCTCAGGTCATGATCTCAGGGTCATGAGATCAAGCCCCATGTGGGGCTCCATACTCAGTGGGAAGTCTGCTTGAGATTCTTTCCCTCTGCACCTACCCCCCTGCTCTAAAATAATGAATCAATGAATCAATGAATGAAAGAAAGAAAGAAAGAAAGAGAAAAGAGAAAAAAGAAAAAAGAAAAGAAAGAAAATGCCATTCCAAACTTTAGTTACTAAAAAAAAAAAAAAAACAAACCTTGGACTAAAATAGTTATTTTATTGGAATATTGACTTAAAACTCAATGACAACATTAATGCAATCACATCAAACTAACCATTACATACAACAGGAGTTTCTCCCTTTTCTGAAAGTCATTACTGTCTGATAGAACCAATGCTTTTGAGTAGCAGGCTATGACTATGCCAAGAAAACTGGCTTGTGTGCATGATATTTTATCAGTACCATTTACTCCATGCCTCCTCTATAGATATAGCTAATTCTTTTGGCTTTAGAATCTAGATATATGTATCACAACAATAAATCATTATTATAGGATAATATTCTATTTTTTATACTTTTCCAGTGTAACTTGAAAGTCCATTTAAATGATTAAATCATAGTAAAGCTAGCTGTATCCATTTTTCTAATTGCTAGCTATGTGTTTAAACAGGCAACTAACAATAAGAATCCTAGTAATTCTTGATTACTCAGGGTAACAGGAATAGGGGCATGGAAAATGTACACATAAAATGTACATGTCCACTTTATTAGCAACTTTCATACTTTTCCCTTGAACTACAAGTAAAAAGCAAAAAATATCTGCTCTAAATTTTAATTCCTCTCTCCCCTTCATCTTAGGTGAAGGAGCTAGTGTACAATGACATAGTCTAAAGTCCCTTAAGCATGACCAGGGTATTTTATAATCAACTACAATCACAAACTAAATACATTTTATAGACCCCAAAACTTCCCAATGCACGTAAAGGACTAAAATGCCAAATTATATGAAAATAATAAATACCCAATTTGAATACAGAATCGGAGGCTAGGGATGCCTGGGTGACTCTGTAGTTGAGCATCTACCTTTGGCTCAGGTCATGATCCCGGGGTTCTAGGATCGAGTCCCGCCATCAGGCTCCTTGCAGGGAGCCTGCTTCTTCCTCTGCCTATGCGCCTCTCTGTGTGTGTGTGTGTCTCTCATGAATAAATAAATAAAATCTTTAAAAAAAAGAAAGAAAGAAACTGGAAGCCAAAACTACCTTTTACTATTTGGAACTATAGTATAGTTCCTATAGTTTCAAGCTGTACAATGCAATTCAGCACATAGCCCAATATCACAGTTTAGATAAAATTCAGAATCCATAAGGACAAAACCTCAGAAATGGCCTTCCATTTACTTTAGTTAATTGTTGCATATCTCTAGCAGAGGGTCTCTTAATGGATGCCCCATACTCATACTTACTTAAATTTGGAAATCTACTTATTTCCTGTGTTTATTTAAAATAAATTAATAATTAACCAATTAATTAAAATTAATCATCTGCTGTTAATTTCATTTTCTCTCTTCCCTTCACCTGGGGTAGACAGATTTCTTAAGGAAACATCTCAAATCACCAAAGTTCAGTCTGTTGCCTCTCAAATCCTGAGGAGTAATTTTGTTATAAAAACCTAACAGGAGTGCCTGAGTAGCACAGCAGGTTCAGTGCCCAATTCTTGGTTTCTGCTCAGGTCATGGTCTCGGAGTCATGGGATTGAACCCCGTGTTGAGCTCCACACTCAGTGCAACGTCCGCTTGGGACTCTCCCTCTGCTCCTCTCCCCACCAACTCTGCTCTCTCTCCCCTTCTCTTAAATAAATAAATCTTTTTAAAAATTATTTTTAAAAAACAACTTCATAATATTTTGTTACAAAGATGAATTCCTAGGACAAGCTTTAATGGAAAACTTTTATACAAAATTCAGGAAGGCTGGTCCTAACTTCTGACCATTTAAACTTCTAAAATATCTAAATCAATAAATGTGTAAATACCGTTTTGTGTTCTTCATATTCTAATTTACTTAGCAACAATGCCTTCTCAAGATCTGCTTCAAACATTTCAGATGTCAGCTAAAACAAAAGGAAAGTTTCACAATTATGCCACACACAATATTATGACAATATATGCATGAAAGGAAAACGAATACATTAAAAAAACAATATGGGTTCTCCAAAGTTATCCATCCATGCCAAAGTAGGGAACTCTGTATTTTACAGAAGATACCAAAGCAAAAAACTTCCAATTTTGAGGTTTCTATTTCCTTATTCACTGTCAATTATATATTGTATATCACATAATTCTTTTCTTTCATAAAAAAATCTTACAAGGAAACTGACACTGTATTAGAGGTCAATGACAGTATTCAATTTAGGACACAAAATTATAACAGTGATTATTACTCAAAAATGTAATCCTGAAAAATAAATCAATAGACATTATAAAAACATACCATTCATTCCCTTAATATAAAGTAATCCACAGGTATGGAAACTTTAAATAATGTGAGTAAATGTTCTCATCTATCTCTGATGTTACAGAACAATTATTTATAGTGCATCTTTGTATTCCTATCCTTTTATTTGGTTGCCCTATCTTTAAGGTCATCTAATACTACAAAAAAAATGATTCTTTAATTTGTGATCTCTATCTTTTGGTTCCTCTTTCCCACCATTCAATCTCATCTTAACTTCTTATAATCTAGTTTCTACTACTCTCTAATCAAATTACTCTCTACGAATTACTTTTCTTAATTGCCACACAGAATTGTTATAGTAGGTGGATGAGACTTTAGGTTTCTACCATTGGAGATAAAGTTATGTCTGCAGCTGAATACAGGAGAGTTGCAACATGACAGGAGTAAATTTCCTGGATTTGTATACAAGCATGTGTCAATCTATGTGGACTAGATAATAAAAGCACAAGTTTGGTAGCCATCTCTTGTGTTTATCCAGAATCCCTTCCTTTATTCCTGTGAATAACTACACTTCATCTCAGGGTCCTATGATTCTAATAGGATACCCAAATACATAATCCTATAAACCACCCACCAGCAAATCCACACAAACATCCAAGCTACCATCATCAATGATAGGGTGGTGGCAAGGGATCCAACTCTTTTTTGATCTCCTAGGAATTAAATTTTGGGAACAAACACAAAGGAAGTAGGTTTGGTCATCTGACATGACAGCCTTCCACAAAGGAGCATACTAGTTCTACCAGTTTACATCTCTAAGCACTCCAGAATTGTTAGTTTCCATCTCTCCCAAGGCATACTTGTTTAGTTCTTAATTCAAATCTGTGAATTGTTTCAACAAATGACTTTTGCCAATGTTAATAGAATTATTTCTATTGCTTAATGACAAAAAAAATCTGACCTAGAACAGAAATCAACTCCAAAGAGGAGCATTTTATTTCCAAGGGGTAACTTAAAAATTAGAAAGATGTTAACACTGGACACCATGAACTAATAAAGCTTTCATTCATAACCAATTTATCTCTTTGAAAGCATCTCATCTAAACCTACACTAAGATAATAAAAAGAGGCAGTAAAAGATTAGGTTTATCATAGAAAAAAAATAATCTTAGACAAAAATGCAGTTAGAATTAAAATGGTAGGAGTATTTAGCACTAGAAAATATGGTTAAATGCAGAGTAAACTGTACATACTTATATAAAGTAACTAAAACAAATTGAAGAATTAATCCAAATTAGTAATAATCAGAAAAAATAATCTTTTAAATAATATATAATACAAAAGGATATTCAAAAATAATATACAATTATAAAGTAAAAAAGAACTGGATTCAGGTTAGCATTATGCAAAAAAGTTTACATGAAGAGTGTCTGGGTGGCACAGTTGGTTGAGCATCAGACTCGGTTTTGGCTCAGGACGTGATCTCAGGGTTGTGGCACCTACAGAGCCCATGTCAGACTCCACACTCAGTGCAGGGTTTGCTTAGGACTGTCTCTCTCTCCCTCTGCTCCTCCCCCCACTCCTGCACTCTCTCTTTAAAATAAATAAATAGGGGATCCCTGGGTGGCGCAGCGGTTTGGCGCCTGCCTTTGGCCCAGGGCACGATCCTGGAGACCCGGGATCGAGTCCCACGTCGGGCTCCCGGTGCATGGAGCCTGCTTCTCCCTCTGCCTGTGTCTCTGCCTCTCTCTCTCTCTCTGTGTGTGTGACTATCATAAATAAATAAAAATTAAAAAAAAATAAATAAAATAAATAAATCTTTAAAAAATAATTTACATTAGTTTCTCCACCTAAACTCAAAGCAAACTGAGTACAAAGTATTTCTTTATAAGTCAAGAAGTCATCCCAACGCAGAAAAAGTAACAAAACTACTTAAGTTCATTCTAAACAAAGCCAGTTCAAGTTATCACTAAGTTTTTAATCCATATTAATGGCATTTAACATTATCTCCAATATGTTACATATTCTGACCAATATTCCAAAAATAAGTTAATAGGCAGGAGAACAGGTTAGAGAGTTAGGAGTCTTGCTAGATGTCATTATCCTTTTTCCTATTAATTCACAGAACTTAAATATTAAAGTAGTTGGTTCTAATATGATAAAAACGGAATGAAATGGAACTTTTATTTTTTTAAATTTTTATTTATTTATTTATGATAGTCACAGAGAGAGAGAGAGGCAGAGACACAGGCAGAGGGAGAAGCAGGCTCCATGCACCGGGAGCCCGACGTGGGATTCGATCCCGGGTCTCCCGGATCGCGCCCTGGGCCAAAGGCAGGCGCCAAACCGCTGCGCCACCCAGGGATCCCTGAAATGGAACTTTTAAAGTAAAAAATATGGCTCTCCTCTGCATTTGACTCTAAATGCAGCAGTTGAGAGCTTTTAATTATTAACACAAACTAGTATACAAGGAACCACAAAAAAAGCAAAAATGATTTAAGTTTCAATTTAAGTCTTTAAAAACTAGAACAAATCTTCTAAAAATGTCAGTATGATCAATCAGCCAATAAGATAATAGACAACCTTCTATGTGCTTTGTCTGTAGTGTTTCAAAGCAGCAGCATATATTTGGCTTTTGCCCTCTAAGAATTCCTACTCCAGGGATGCCTAGTTCAGTCCATTAAGTGTCTGCCTTTGGGTCAGGTCTTAATCCCAGGGTCCTGGGACTGAGTTTTGCATTCGGCTCCCTGCTCAGTAGGGAACCTGCTTTTCCTCTTCTTCTGCCTCCCTGTTGTGCTCTCTTTCTGTGTCAAATAAATATTTTTAAAATTTTCTAGTCCAGTTGCAGACAGAAGACTGACACAAATGAAGTACAAGAAATAGAATAAGACATTGAAAGTGCTACAAAAGTGGAGAGAAACAAAACGTATACAACAAATAAAATTCAGAGAAGCATACAGAAAAGATGTTAATTTAAGTTTGTCCTTAAATGGTAGATACAATTGAGAGAGGTAGAAAAAGAAATAGAAGAATTTCAGGAGGAAAGAATCAAGTGAACAGTATTAAAAATAGATATATTATGGGATACATCAAAGAAAGGGGATACCTAAATAAAGTGTGAATTCAATATAAGAGAGATGTAGACAAAACCTAGGCTTTGGGAGATCACACAGGTGGATAATTTAAATTCCAATTCCATTTATGTTAGGACCTTGGGCAAATTACATGACTTCTATAAATTTCAGTTTCTTCATATATAAAAAGGAAGTAGAAACATCAACCTTATAGGGTAGTTTTAAAGACTTAAAACTAATTAATACATGTAAAGTGCCTATCACAGTGCCTGCCTGGTACAAGACTTACATCTAGTAAATCAGAATTCCTATCCTCTGTGTTGAAGAATAGTGGAAAGTGAGTTTGCTTAGGTAGGGTAGAATTAGATTCCCAGCAATCCCTAAAAATTAGGGACTTGGGGCAGAAGAAAGAGAAATACTTATAAGAGTAATTTTTTAAAAATTTTTATTTATTTATGATAGACACACACAGAGAGAGAGAGGCAGAGACACAGGCAGAGGGAGATGCAGGCTCCATGCACCCGGAGCCCGACGTGGGATTCGATCCCGGGTCTCCAGGATCACGCCCTGGGCCAAAGGCAGGCGCCAAACCGCTGTGCCACCCAGGGATCCCTATAAGAGTAATTTTAAAGAAATAAACCGGAACATTAGTGAAACGAAGGCTTAGAGTCAATGTGTTTGGCTAAACCTCTATAATCTCAGCATATAGAAATCTGAACCAGAACATAAAAGTATAGAAAATAAAGAAGGTTCTATCTTAGAAAAGAATGACCAAGTTTTGGAACACTGACTGAATATGAAATATGAAAGAAAAATGAATCAAAAATAAGATTTTTAATTATAGATAACAGGGAAATGGCAGCACAAGACTAAAACAAGAAAGAGAAAGAAAACATGATTCTAAATTCTCTAAACATATTTTACAGCATTAATTAATCACTAGACTACTATAAATATAGTTGTGGACCTAATTCATCAGTACATGTACAGGCAGAGCTGGGGAGTAGGGGTGAAGTGTGAGCCTAAAAGACAGATACTGGGCAAGAGAATGCAAAAACCATCATGATTTTTAAAAAATAACTTCTATTAAGTCTGCAAATTGAGATTTGTTCATCATTTACAGGAGAAGGAGGAAAGGAAGACAAAGAGGAAATAGTAGGGACTACAATGCCTACAGGATTGAAGAAGATACTTACATGTGCCCAAAAGGGAGTACTTCAGACCCCCTTCCACTTGGCTTCCTTCATTGCCTCCTACTCCTCCCATCTAGTAGTAAAACATTTTTTTTCTATTTAAACAAACCTATAGCTCAAGGGTTTACGATCAGTTAAAGAGTATGAAGAACCAATGAAAAACAGGAAGGCCAGTTAATCTTCTAGATTTTTAAAAATTAATTTGTAAATCTAAGTACAGTAATGATTTTACCCACTTTAAATCTAAGCAAAACAAATTCCAAATGAAGAGTTACTCCTCATTTTCCACAGGCATCATGGGAACAGGATTTTGTATCACAACACACAATATCATTCTGAATATCTAATGCTTGCAGCCACAATAGCAGCAGTGCCCTGTGGTCCTCTAACTCCATGATATTCAGAGTATGGACCCTGTATCTTTCACTAATTTGGAAAGTAGAATTATTTTTCCAGAAATCTTCTAATACTTTTATTGAACACTAGGATTTTAAAGGTTGTCAGTGTTCTAAAAAATTGGATCGGGGTGGGGGGGTGGAGAAAAAAATAAAATTAAAATTAAAAAAATACAATAAAAATTTTTAAAAATTTAAAAACATTGAGTCTATGTATGTGTACACACTAATTGTCAGGTTCAGTTAATTTCTGTTCATTTCAGTTAATGTATCTTTATGTTTTCTGAGTGTTGTTTATAGTCTACATTTTTGTTGTATGCTTTATTATATCTCCCAAATAACAAAAATGGTTTAATGATTTCTTGAAGGATTAAAAGAGAACTGTAAATAATGCTACTTATAAAAACACCATAAACTGTTAAATGAACAGAACTCTAATACAGTGAATACAGAATATAAATCTGTATGTCTTAAGATACGAGTGATATCACATAAGCAGCTGAAGAGGAAAATCATAAATAGAACATTAAGATAGTGAGCATTTGAAATTTTATTTACTGAGTCAATTTATTTGTTCCTTGCAGCCTGCTATGAAACATGGTTAGACCAGTGGCCTGAAGACACCATAGTTTTTGTTTCACTTTCAAAGCACAATGACTTGTATGAGTCTTTTCAGGACAAGTCCCACATAATGCTTTTTCCATAGCAAAAGTGATGAATTCTGTTGCTAAAGAAAGAGCTAAAAACTACAGAGCACTTATTTGAATTTGCACTCCTTCTACGGAAACAGGTGCAAGTCAAACAACTGCCAAGGGACTTATTATACCAGCCATGAGGTTAATGACACATGTCACACTCAAAAACAAACAAGAAACAGAACAATCTGTTGGCAAAACACCTTTATCCAATGGACTGGAAGATGTGATATGAAGAAACAATTACTTGTGCACATGCTAGCAGATATTTCACTTCTGAGCTGGACAAAACCAGTAATGTATGGAGTTTGAATCAATAAGAGAAAGAAATATACACTAAAATTTCATCAGTCACTAAAAACCCCTAAGAAATTTTCTATTCAGTTAATTATTTTTAAGCCATGATATGGACTTACATAAAGATACATGGAAACAGCACTATCAATGTATCATGAATAAAGGAGAACAACTCTACACAACTCTGCAAAGAAATAGAAAATATAAGACTACCTCCACTCTGGAATATTCTGGGACAGATACAAGTCTATGAATTGGAAAATGAGATACAAACATTCATGTTGAGATACAAACATACAAACATTCTTAAGATACTAATAGCGCATTAAAGATGATCTCTACAATTTCTAGAAGCTTTTAAGCATACCTCAGCAAAACACACAGCAGCTTGAATAGCCTGAACCTATCCTTTCAGGGTCAATGTGTCACAATTTTTAATGTAAGAAAAAGGTAAGAATTAAGATCAAAATGTGATCCAGGCAGTTTATCCCTATTGGTCTTCAACAGGTAAAATCAATTATTTATATTTACATATAAAACAAAACGTCTATTATCCTTTTTTATACCTTCTTTGAAAGGCTTTCTTGCATCTTCCTTTACTTTGTAACTTTTGCTTATATGGACCAGGTTTAATTTTTTTTTCTTCAACTGATTTAAAACTCATAGATTGAAAAGTCTCGTGTATAAATTGTTCTCTTTAGATTAAAAAGAATCACACTTGGAAGTATGTATCTTTGTTATTAATATGAAAAATTTAAAAAATACCTACTGGCTTTTCCAACCTATTTCCTTCCAAATTTTTGTATTCAAAACCAGGGATTTCACTTTAGACAAATTCTTCATGTGAGTCAGGTTCTCTTTAATAATCGCTTGCAATCACTACTTAGAGTTAATTCTGCAGTGAACTAGCTTCAATGCTTGCCACTGGTGCTTTCCAATTGTTGTGCTATTTAGATTTATTTGCCTTTTAATCAGCAGGAGCATATCTCAGAAAAACTTGCAGAAATGATAATGGCAGTATGCTTCCTTAGCCCTTGCATGTCTAGGAATGAATTTCTTTAACTTTCACAAAAATGACGTATTGCCTAGATATGGGATTCTTGGTCCTAGAATTTCAATTCTGGCATTTAAAGTAGCTGCCCTGATTTTTCGTCCTGTTTTCTCATATATATGTATGTACACACACACACACACACACACACACACACACACATTCAAGAATATTCCTTATCTCTCATTCTTAGTATTAAATTTTTTTTTAAGTTTTCCCAAAAAAGTCTTTAAAAAAGGCTTAAGTTCTTTCAAGCTCAGATTCGAGTACCTAGCTTAGGAAAATTTTTAGCAATATTACCTTTAATGACTGCCTCTATTCTCCTTGTTGTAGTGACACTAATTATGCCTCTGTTGGATTTCAATTGTGTTCCAGTTTATCATGCTGATTTTGTTGGCAAAATATATCTCAAATTTTCCTTCATACAACTGACTCAATTTTCCTCAGTGTATACTCTGTTCTTTAGTCTAATGAAATGTTAAATTCTGCTATGATTTCACTTCTCCAATTTTTTATTTTGTCTATATCTCTTTCGATTTCTCTTGACCACTTTTTCATCTCAGACTACCACCTCACCTTATTATATAACACTACTAATCTCCTTGACTTACAAAATGTTCTAGGCCCTGGGTCTTCATTAAGGCAAAGAACAGATCCTGCCTACAATCACCTTCTGTTTCCTGTAATAAATCTTTTTCAAAGTATGCTTTCACTTTGGACACTAAGTATAATGTTCTTTTCGTGGGGCACAAACTTTTTCAGTTGACATGACACCATGTGTTTGCTCATACAGAAATGGAGTGGATGCTTTTTTACTGTCTATCTAGTTGTTGTAAAATGCCAGCTCTCAGATTTTATATTGAGGCTTAGTTGATGTAAACTTACATTATCGCCTTAGTGATTTAGGAGTAGGAAAGTTTGTCTTAGCAAAATTTATCTTTTGTGTTGGAAATAATTAGCCACATACCAGGCAAGCTTTCTATAGCCATCTTTTTGTCTTGTCTCCCTCAACACTGGACTTTCTCAGTGTGTTGTTCCTTTACTGTGTCAGGGAGAACACCGACCATCCTATATGCTTTCTGCCTACTTTAGTCACTAGCTGGTCCCTACTTTTAAATTTTGTTGTGCCACACAGTAAAATAGATTCCAAATGGTTTACGGTCCAACTGTTTGTTCCAAGGCCTGTCCTTATCTCCTCTTCAGTTATCAGTATGATTATCCGAGGATCTACTCTTCTTCCCATGACCTTAGTTATTTTCCTGCAAGTGAGAATGCCAAATACGGTACCAGGTTTTCCTAAGTGATCCATCAATAGTATATCCAGCAGAAGTGCTTCGAAGTCCTGAGCCTGGGATGACATTCTTGTACAGGGTCAGGGCTAAGTCAACTATTTTCTTTTCACAATTACCTGGTCATTTTGGCAGCAATTGGTGGGAACAGGAAGAAAGGCAATCAAGTTTCTGTGCTCAAGTTCCCCACATTACACAAAATTTATTTTGGTGCAAATCTGAGTAGTTTTTCCTCATTAATTTTCCAGTGCCCTTTGGGCTACTGGGAGAAATTCTCTCTGGTGAAGACACTGGTCAATTCTATTACTGTCTAAACAAGTAGATCATTACATTTATATCTGTAAACCAGAAGAATCTGTCATAATGAATGCTGCAGAAGGAAAAAAAGAAATAATCAAATATCAACTAGGGGGTTTAACACAAGATAATTTATCCAGTATACCACTGCCTGGAGATATATTTTAAGTGGCATTTGTGCACAGCTCTTGTGTAGGAACTTATCCTTGTGATGATGGGCCTAAGGCACTACAAAATCCTAACAAAAATGTTATAACTAATATAGTTATATATTACTATATATACTATACTTATATTATATAAGTGTATAATATACTTATATATTATACATACTTATATTATTACTATATATAGTACTATATTACTATATATTCTAATATAGTGTTAAGAGTGGTTTAGAATACTCTAATTCTTTTTTTGTTTTGTTTTGTTTTGTTTTATTTTCTCTAATACTTTTAAAACTGGTAACCAAAGCATGGTATGGCACTCTACTAAGCCAAAGACCTGCTAAAATAATACCTCTTCCCAATGGATTAACTACCAGTTTAACAGGTAAGCAAATAAGTAACTATTCATTTCTCATACATACAGCATCTCCTAGAGTACATTCCAGGCTTAGTATGCTATTTTCCTGAATAGTACATTCCAGGCTTAGTATGTTATTTTCCTGAATAGCACATACACCAAAAAAGTGATTGGTCTTAAAAATTATCTATATGATTTGGTTATTAATATTTATTTAACAGAGGTACAATGTATCACATAAATAGGTTAAAGAAACTAACAGATGTCACAAACTGTTTTACATCAGAGTTGAAAAGGAATTATTTCCCTTCAAAGTCTTTCTTTTCAAAGCAAAACAGTGACTGAGTATTTTTAACAAGAGACATCTAACCCTACAAATATTGATTTTTTTAACTTGAAATATAATTTAATCCTGTTATTCTACCTTTCCTATCTCTCCCTCACTTGTAAAAAGACAGATGAATTGAAAACTCACAAAATAACTGCTTTGAATTGCCAAAGCTAACAAAATAACAAGTATATCAATCTTTTCCTAGTAGATGAAAAATAGAATCTCTTATTTAAAGCACAAAGATAAAAAAATAAAAATAAAAGCACAAAGATGTGTGAGTTAATCTAATACAAAATGCACCACAAATAGTGGTGCCATGGACTCAGATGCACTGCTATTTAAAAAAATCCATAAACTCACAGAAATACAAAGCAAAATAATTTGATTTACTTAACTGTACCTGCTCATCTCTTTGCCTCCACTCTTGCCAATTTTCTTCTCGTGAATCCTTCTGCACTGGGTTTGGTAATGAAAGCTCATGTTGAGCATTACAAATGGCATGGGAGGATTTCTGGGGAATTTTCTTAAAAGCAAGATTCCTGAGCTATGAGACAAATGAACAAAAACATTAAATTCAGTTTATCAATACTGGAATTCTAACAGTTTTTTTGCTAAGTTAAAAAATCAGTAGTATTTTTATATTTCTAAATACTATACCATTCATTATTCCAACTCACAGAGTCACTATCTGTGTTTTTCTTAATCTCTGTAAAATGTTAATTTCACCAGTATTTAGATAATGTTGGTGAGTTTCTAACAATTTAATAGGTGAAAATGGACTGTATTCTATTATACCATCATTTTAATGATTCTGATTCACTTAAATGAAGAAATTTATAGGAGCAGAAAACAGGATAAGTATGCTTTTGACTATGTTGTACATCTGAAACTAATATGACATTGTAGGACTTGTGGTGAAGCAGAATATAATGGATAAACTTGTCAAATCACTGTGTTGTACACCTGAAATTAATGTAGCATTGTGTGTCAAATGCCCCCAAATAAAAGAAAAAAAATTAATAGGGTTTATGATAATACAATTTACCATTACTAATTGCCTTTATAGGGTTGTTGTGAGGAATAAATGAGTCAATTGATGTAGAATACTTAAAACAGTGCCTTTCTTACAATTAACATCATAAATTAAAAAAATATATATATGACCTTACAGGTCAACTAAATTTAAAAAAAAAACAAAGCAATGGGATTCAAAAACATTAAAATTTAATAGCTTACAACTCTAGCAACTACTTTGCTAGTCCTTAAAAATACAGAACCTAGTTCACAAAGTAACATGATGAGCTAAAATTGGACTGGCCAAACCCCTCCCAACAACAGTATGATCATCATCATCTGAGATGCAGTAGTTGAAACAAGAAAGAAAAATAGGAGAGGTTATTATGGATTGAACTGTTAACCCCCAATACATATGTCATAGGCCTGAAACCCTCGGGTATCTGTGAATGTGACCTTATTTGGAAAATAAAATTTCACAGATATAATCAAGATAGCTTGTGAGATAGGGTAACACTGAATGAGAGGGGATCCTAATCTAATCCAATACGACTGTTGTCCCTAAGAAGAGGTGAAGACAGAGATACACAAAGAATGCCAAGTAAGAGCAGAGACAAAGACTGAAGTGACACAGCCACAAGCCAAGGAATGCTGAGGACTGACAGCCACAAGGAGCTAAGAAGAGCCTGGCCCTTGTGGACTCCTTGGTTTGGACTCCTGCTTACAGTCCAGTGGGAGAGTAGACACAAATAGTCGTAACTGTTACCTCATTTGCTTCACTCTGTTGCTGTTCCTTCTTTTTTCTTCTTTTTTCTCTCTTTTTCTCATTTGTAGTTGATTTGTTTGTTTGAGACTTTCCAGTATTCCGACCTTTGCCTTTTCCTGGCTCAGAATCAGAACCACTGCCACTATCTACTTGCAATAGGGCAAAACGAGAAGCAGTAGTGGGAACAGAACTAAGTACTGCCGAGGCCATTGTAAAGATTGCTATTTTAAAATATGTCTGTCAAGAATAATTCCTGTAGGGAGGGAGAAGAGGGGGTAGATGAGTAAACACAATCAGTAAAATCTGTTCTAGATTCTAGAACAATCTTATACACACACACACACACACACTCTCTCTCTCTCTCTCTCTCTCTCTTCTCCTCACATTGGATTTAGTCATATTGGGATTCATACCCACAGTTCTATAGAATGCAATAACATTCTTTTTTAACTTGAGTAAGCAATATAAAATTGTATACTTTAAAAAAGAAAAAAGTAGGTTGAGATTTCATGGACAACTACTGCATGATTGACACCAATAAAATGTATTCATTTTTCCCTATGTGGTTTTCAAAAATTATTTTCTTCTCTCTTTTAAATATACTGCCATAATATATACATATTTACAAAGAACATCTTGAATCAATATGGAGTAGTGGGAACATCTTCCACCACACACAAGTCCGTGTTAATCTCCAACTTTCAAGACAGAAAAAAAGAGGTAGAAAAGGAAGACACTTTTCATACACAAAATACTGCCTCCAGTTTGATTCTGGAGATTGCTACTAAGTCACAGAACTGACAGCAAAATAGAGAACTTAAATTTCTTCAACCAAAGGCAACCTTTCAAAATCACCTTCCACATTATCTTCTGCTTCACTAGTCTCATTGCACCTTGAGATGCCTTGTAGACTTGTGATATTAAGGGTCCTACGGTAGTATCTAACCCAACTCATTAATCATTTAGTTTTACAGAGGAGGCAACTGGCACTTGAATTGGATAAGTGACTTGCCTCAGGTTATTCTGCAAGTTAGTGGCAGAGTCACAATCTGAACCTAGGTTTGCTGAGCCTTGCTGACCAAGGTCAAAAGAAGAAGCTCTGTCACTACTAGAAGACTCGTACTCTTTCAATTCACAAAAAAAAAAAAAAAAAAAAAAAAAAAAAAAAAAAAAAAAAAAAAAAAAAAAAACAGATTGTGAAACTCAGAAATTTGCTCATTTTTATTTTTAAATGTATCAGATACACAATTGAGTAAAAAATTTTTTGTAAATAAATGAACACTCCAAGTACTCAGCACTAAGATTAAGAGAACTTTAACCCCCCTGTGCCTCTCCCCAATAGCATCCCAACTCCCCATGGTGAGATATAAGGATTATCCTGATTTTTCTGTAAGTCATTTGCTTTTCTTTATAGTTTTAACATCTCTATCTTGAGCCACAGTACTCATATCTGAACTAGCTAATGTCACTTCCACAATATCCTATTGCCACCAATCTCGTCTATTCAATGTGATATGGGATTATGCAAAAGTACAAATACCAGAAGTGAAAATCATTGAGGTCCATTTTGAAAGCTAACCACACAATACAGTTTGTATGTTTTAGGAGGGAACAAAAATGAGAAGCATGTGTTAAATCTTCCATCTTAATCTAAAAACCCAGAAAATTACTTGGAAATCTTTGAATTTTTTGTTAAAAATAAAGAAAAATCAAAATAAGAGCTGATATTTTGAGATGCCATCTAGAAGTTATTAAATAAAAGTATTTTTATTATAAATACCACATTAAGATATATTGCTCCTACACTCAAAAATATGCAAACCAGGGGTGCCTGGGTGGCTTGGTCAGTTAAGCATCTGCCTTCAGCTCAGGTCATGATCCTAAGGGCCTGGGATGGTGCCCTGAGTCAGGCTCCCTGCTCCTGCTCAGCCTCAGTCAGGCTCCCTGCTTCTTCCTCTGCCTCTCCCACTGGTTTGTGCTCTCTTTCTCTCACAAATAATTAAATCTTAAAAAAAAAACAAAAACAAAAACAAACAAAAAAAAACCACACAAATGCAAATCAAGATAAAATACCATGACATAAAAGAATGACGTCATACCGATAAATTACGACACATTTTTAGGCTTAAATTTCTGCTGTAAGCATGAGAATTAAGGCTTTGTTAAGTTACTACAAGGGAGAATATATTACAAAATGAAAAAGAAGTTCAAGATTCAAAAACATTTTCGGAAAGCATTAATTCTGCTTCAACATGTCATGTTAAAAATCCTTTAAGTTTTAGTTGCTCTGAGTACTTGAGATACAGTGATCCTACACATTCAACAATTATTATTGCATTTAATTTTAACTGTTGGGACTCTAAATTGCATGGGTTAGCCATTCACAAATACTCATTGCCCCTCCCTGAAGGAGAATCATGCACCACTCTCCTACTGAACAGAGGCATGACCATGTGACTTATTCTGGCCAGTAAAACATAAGCTTTAAAAGGCTTTAAAAGCCAGAACATGGTTCCTGCTACTATTCAAGCCTATGTTGAGAGGGGGTCAGGTCTGTTGGGTCTGAAATAAAAATGAATAAAGTCTCTCACTAACCTGTTAATGGATATGTAGCTTGAGCAAAAAAGCAACTTTACTGCTTTAAGCTGTGGAGATTTTCAGCTTGTTGTTACAGTATAACCTAGCCTTAGCATGATTGATATCTTACACAAATAAATTTATTTTCCATTCTAGGACTGATATCAAAACCATGAATTCCACATTTAGATGGTTCTGCATAAGTTAAATGTTCACAAATGTCCAACACATCTCCACAAAGCTCACAGAAATTTTCTTTCTGTGGCATAGGGCAAAGCTTCCTTACCAATGTGTCCTCAAATAAAGTGTCTCTGAGTTCTCAGGGCACCTAAGAAAACCCAGGAGAATTCTGAGATGCTGGGCAGGTCACTACCAGAGGCAAGCAGCCTCATCTGGTGCTTTGCAGAGGACAGACAGTACCCACAAATGCTGCTCTGTGGTCATTTGTCAACTGGGAAGTATGTAAGGCCTGGAAATCTACTTCATCAGATCAGTGTACAATGCACTACTGCCCCTCAGGGTAGGCAGGCTCAGGGAACTACTACAAGAGTTTGCTTTAGGTACTCCAAATGCAACACATGCAATACAGGGAGCAGCAGCTGCTACTAGGAGTGGGAAAGCACAAAGTCTCCTTGTGAGCAAGGTTCCAAGTAATGAGCTGATAGCTCTATATTCACAGGGAGCAGATATTTCTTCCCACTTGCCAGTGCTATGCCTTTTTAATGGCGTAAAGTCTAGCTCTAAGGTGACTGCTCAAACAATACATATGCTTTCTGAAAATAAGAGCTTTGTCATTTTATGTCATCTTGGAGATCATTTTATCACAAGAAATTCTTTTTTTTCTATGAGAAGAGCTATGAGATTCTTTAAAAATAATTCCAATTGTTATAAATTATTGAATAGTTGTACAAAAATGGCTTGTTTTTATTATCTATTCATCCAAACAAAATTTCAGTGGGAGCTCAATCTGAAGAAAGCATCATCTAAAAGTGTAGATGGAGGAGGACGCCTGGGTGACTCAGGGGTTTGGCGCCTGCCTTCAGCCCAGGGCGTGATCCTGGAGACCCAGGATCGAGTCCCACATCAGGCTCCCTGCATGAAGCCTGTTTCTCTCTCTCTCTCTCTCTCTGCTTGTGTCTCTGCCTCTCTTTCTATATCTCTCATGAATAAATAAATAAAATTTTTTTAAAAATAAAAATAAAATAAAAGTCTGGATTGAGAATTGTATATTCTTATTTCATGAACAAATGTGTAATTTAAAAACTGTTCAGGGAAGCAAGCACAATTTTCTCATTAGAAACCCTGAAAAGATTTTGAAGTTTCACACAAATTCAGCATTTCATATCTTTCCCAATACTTTATATTGTTTTATTTATCCTAATCATATACAACAAAGAAAACGTAACACATTTTTTCCACCCAGCTCTACATAAGCGCTGTAAGTCTCTTCTACGTTTGAAGGCAACAAGATGCTCTGGTCTTTTATGTTTGTAATGCAGAAGTCAAATGGCAGAAAAGCACTAGCCTATGAGTGCTGACCTGGAACAAGAATGTGTAGTCAAAATCTGGTCAACCTGCTACCTGTTGAAAGCTCTTGAGCAATTCACCTGATCTCTCAGTTTCCTCATCTGTGAAATAGGGACAAGAGTGCATAGCTCACTGTGTTATTGTAAAGATTAAATACTTTATGTGCAGAGCTTAGAACAGTTGCCAGAACAGCAGAAACACTCAGATATAAACATGCTGGTGTTCTTATACTATGATTACTAACTGAAGTATGTCTTGGAGTCCTAGCAGCACAGGAAAACTGGCACAAGCTATTTAAAAATTTGGCTAAGCATATCCGACTCCGTCGCAAAAAGTGTTTGAGAGTTAAATCAACATCTAGCCCTTCTCAAAGTTAAGACTTTAATCTACAAAATGAAAAAAAGTTTTTAGGCCCGGAGAAGTAGTGGTCAAGCAGTCAGCCCCTTAAGAGAGTGAAAGACCTAAAGATTATACCTAACAAACTGCAGAGGGAAACACCAATCTATCTGAAACCCAAGAATCACAGAAGGGACTATGTCTTAAACAATGGGCACAAAGAAGATAGATAATAAACAATTCCTGAATGAAAATAATAAAAGAGAATGATAATGTGAAAAGAAAGCATTAGAACAAATAGCGTTAACTGACAAACAGTGAAAAGACAAAAAATTTTTCTAAGGCAGCTACGGAGGATACATCTCAGCAACCTGTGTTAAAATACTTTAACTCAAGAAAGAGTAGACAGAAAGAGGGAAAACCTCACCTATAATGATCCCTTGTTTGTTCAGGGGCAGGGGTCTGAAACAGAATAGCAGCTACCACTTGCACCATACCTAGTAGCTGAAGGGGTAAGGAAATGGGACAACTGGAAGGGTTCCAGCATCTGTGCTACATGCTGAACTTTATAAAAGAGGGGAGGGCATCTGGGCAACTCGGTTGCTTAAGTGTCCAACACTCTTGGTTTTGGCTCAGGTCATGATTTCATGGGTCCTGGGATGGAGTCGCAAACAGAGCTCCATGCTTAGTGTGGAATCTGCTTGAAAGATTCTCTCTTGCCCCTCCCCCAACTTGCATGCAGATGTGCAGACACTCTATAAAATAAATAAATCTTTTTAAAAAATGTAATAACTAACACATCACCTACCTCAA